AAAAAGTAGATCAGAGATATATTTATAGTAATTATGCAGGCAAATTTGCCTGCAAATCTCTACCAATTAAGGGATAAACATCTTGTTTTGGCATTTGATTGATGTAAAATGGACTATCCTATTTTGGTTCCAGCTTCATGCTTCTATTGTACTTTTTTGATGCTCAGTACAACAAAACTTTATCACTGATGTCTAAATTAGGCGGAAAAGTGGCTTTCTGATTGTATCATTTCTTTTGCTTTTGTTGTGCTTGTTGGGTTCTCTGCACAGCCTCATAACGTGTTATCAGTAAATCTTCTAACAATTGGAACATCCTTTGTATTATCATCCTTTCTAATAGATCATCATGTTTAACAGATTGTTGGGCCTCCCTTCTATGCATCAAGTAAAATGGGATGTTTTTGGTGGTCATATTTCTGGAAGTCCAGTATGCAAACAATACTGCAGGTATGACCATGTCTCAATCACTTATATTCTCTATTAATCTTGCAATGGATTTACACAAGGTTTTATTGTACCTTTCTACCAACCCATTGGTCTGTGGATGGTATGGCATTGATAACAAATACCTTATTTGGAACTTTTCTAATAGTTTATCAACTAGTTAATTTCTAAAGTGGGTACCACGGTCTGATAGTATTTTCACAAGGTATCTGTGTCTACACACGATATCCTCAAAGATAAAATCTGCTATACTTTGAGCATCTGCAGTCGAAATGGCTCTGGCCTCCAGCCATTTTGTCATATAGTCAGTAGTGATACAAATTGAAAATCGAAAAATCGATTAGTTGTCAACTAATCGATAAATCGAATGAAAAATTTTGAAAAAAACAACTAAATGATTGAAAACTTTTGTCAATTTATAATAAAATAATTGACTAAAATTGATAAATCAATTAGTTGACAACTAATCGATTGAAAATTTTTGAATTAGTCAACTAATTGATTAGAAAATTTTTGACGATTTAAAACACTAATAGTTGGTTGTCATGACTATATAGTGAGTTTTTGGGTGTGATCAGTAGGGGTCCAACAATGTTTATTCCCACTTGATAAAATAGCATTATCACCGGTATGGGCTGTAAAGTTCTGCTATATTTATTTTTTCCTCTTCTTTGACAATTTTCACAAGATTGAACATATTTTCTAATATACTTAAATGCTTAGGGCCAATAATAGGTCTTGCAGATTTTTTTGAACATCGTTTTAGCCCTGAAGTGCCCTCCGAGTGGGTAATCATGCGTCAATAAAAGAATAGGGTCGATCTCATATTTCTGGACCACTTTTAAAGGTTGGTCTTGATTCTTTTATTTATCTTATATAATAAACCATTCTTTAGTAAAAATGTTTTACTATGGTTGATTATTTGTTTCCTTTGCTTTTTATCTAGGTGGTTTTCTATATATCCTTCTTGCAAATATCTCTTTAATCAGTTATAGTCTTCTTCTTTCATTTTTGGTACATCTTTTGTCAGGACACCAACCACCTGGACTGAATTGTATTTATCGTCGGATTTGGTGCTTCGTGGTATTGTACTTTTTCTTCTCTCTTTTTTTTTTTTTTTTTTTTTTTTTTCTATAATTCCATAAGCATTGAATTGTCTCTGGGGGATGTTGGTTCCAAGATGATAAATCTTCAGTGGTCACATAATTGGTCCTTCTTATAAGCATTGACGGCTTTAATATTTATTTGTTCTATGCAACCTAAGTCGATTCCAGTTGCCATTAAATACTCTCTTTGTGCTAGCTCTCGTTGGGTACTAGCTATGATCCATTCTTTTAAAATCAACAGGTTTCTCAGGTCATGTGCAATAAGTCGGTATCCGAATTGCTCCATCAAGTATATGGTCTTGCCTCGGTTTATCACTTCTAGAGCAAAGTGTTTGAGTTCTATTGGGTGGAAGTATACATGAAAGATCTTTGCATAGGATCGGTTCAGGTGGAGGAAGTTTAACGCACTATGACAATCATCAGTTATTTTCCGAAAGTATAGTGGTGTCATACTTTGGGTCCACGCTTGGCCATTTATTTCATTAGGGGTCCGTTCGCTGGGTCCTGGTATGATGTTTTCTACTTCGATATCTTCCTTCTGTTCATCTTCATTTTCTATTTTTATCATAAATACTTCTTTTTCTTCACTTATTTCATGGCATCTATCTTCCTCTTCTTGAGTTATTACAGTTTCATCATCATCATAGCTGTACCAGAATTTGTCGTCTCCTTCTTTATCGGTTTTCGGGTTAGTATTTTCTTTACAATTTTCTGACCCCATTTCACTCAGTGTTACTATACCTCTGCTTTGGGTGGATTTATTACCTGACTCTAACGCTTCTGAGACTGATTCTCGGTATTCTAATTTCCTCTGGTATTCTTCAATTACGAATCTTCTCCCTGTACTTTCTCCGGGGTTAGGGAATGGGCTGGTAAGAAGTCCAAGGCCAGGAACTCCATTATTGAAAAATCTAAGGGCAGGTGAGTAATCTTCCGGTTCTGACTTGAT